ACATTACTTTAAGCCTTCATTACCCATCTTGTGGCAATGCAAATGGATGGGATACAGCCTAAACCTTTCCTTCATGGCTTACGATTTCTCTTGTCATCACAGCCTGTTTATAGAAGAAGAAAACTAACTTAGAATTTAAAATTTAGAAATTAATTTAGAAGAGACAAAAATACCAACAACTTGTCGTAAATCTTCCAGGAAAAAAAGTCACCATGCATTTGATTTTAATTTTAAACTAATTGAATTGCATTGTAGATTAAAGGTGGTACGAAGAGAACACTTGTTCATTAAATTGGGATGGAAGAGATCGAGAGAAGAGACCGGTCTGGATAAAATACATTTAGGAAGACAATCCTGTGCTCACAGAGTCTCAATTCCAGCTTTGTGTGGGTAAATTGTTGGAGGAGATGCTAGTGAGATAGCAGCCTGCCCTTGGGTTCAGAGCTGCAGGGAACACTGCCTGCAGAACAAAGTGGCACAGACCTAACAAGGGCTTTCTGAAGATGAAGTTGATTTCAGATCTGGACTTAGGAGATTTGTCGTGGCCCACGTAAAACCATACTTTTTGATAGATAGATAATCAATTAGGGAACCCCTGTCAGAGCACTGCCATCTCCTGGGATGAGGGTGCATGGGATGAACGAGGGAGCTTTCAGCAGACGAGCTGCTTTTCTGAAATGCTTCCTATCTTTGCTGGGTGTTGGGTGCTTGGAGGTGATGTTCCAGGGCTGAAGGCAGGGGCAAGGATATCTTTTGGATCCTGGTTAGAGGAGGAGTGTAGGAGGAGGAAGATGACTTTATAATTGCTTTTTTTTATCACTCTTTCTAACTATATTGACTTTATACTTGACACAGCTTTGGCTGGCAAGTGAGGCCCAGATACATTCAGAATTAGATATGACACGGTTCATTCTTACATGAGAAGAAAATCATCGGTTGCTACAGAAACAGCTCCATATCAGTCTCATGGGGCATCTTTGCATCTGGCTTTTTTTCCTTCTCTTTTGCTAATCTGTAGATAAGAGTCAAAGCAACTGCAGCACATCCCACATCTATGTAAAAGGTTGGAGGAACACTGCAGAGAGCAGTGTGTGAAAGAGCATCTCATAGATAAGCTAAACTTAAATAAATGATTTAATTTCCCTCCCCACACACATTTTTTTTCTAGTTTTGCAACTCTCACTGAGTTAATTGAGGTGAAAATTAAACGACACCAGTCGGCAAGTGTTTTAAAGACCACGAACATCAAGGAAGGGAAAGGAGATACTCAAAAAGGGAGTTGCAAGGAGAAATTTAGGGAGCAATATATGGAGTGAGTTAAAAATCTGTCGAGAAAATTGCATATGGCAATAGAATAATATTCCAGATTTGCTGTTAGGCAAGTTATTTAATGTGATAAATTACAGAATTAGTTAAAAATAAGTGCATATTATGGGTGAACAGGGACCATTCTGCTCATTTTAGACCAGATCACCAGCTAGGATTTTCAACTGTTTTTTTTTTTTTTTTTTTTTAAAGTAATTAATTCTCGATGCTTAATAGATTAATATTTATTGAGTGAATCAATGCTTAATGTATTAAAAATTTGCCTTCCTTGTATTTTAATATGATTTATTACTCATCAGTGCTTATTGCATTAATTAAAGACTGTTAATTTTATGGAAGTGAACACGATCTGCTGCAGGTTTGCTGCAGAGCCCTGTGCTGTAGGGACTGTGCCTCTGGATAGTACCAGTGATGGAAAAACGCACATAGTGGGAAGCCAGTATGAATCACCAATGGCCTCTTCGTGCCTTTGGGCTTTCAAATAACCAGCAAAGTGAAAATGAGAATGTTGCCCCTTACGGGTAGCACAGGATTATAGCACTGGAGGTACGGCGATGATAAAGGGAATATTTCTGTTTTCCACTTACCATTTATGGTTAATGCTACGGAAATCATTTTAATGTGTTTTTTTTTCCCCTTTGTGGAGAGCCTTTTTGCCAGTGTAGGTGAAATGCAGCATTAGTGATATGGGACACTCTCACCTCTTCTCAGACCGGGAATGATAATCATTATATTTTACTCAGTGCTCTGGTAGTAATTCCTGGGACTTGAGGTTGCCTGAAGATTGGGATGGCCCCAAGTATCTCTGCAGGGGCAGATATCTGAGAAGTGGAAAATTACTAAAGGCAAAGCAAAAAGAAGCCAGACATCTTGAGATGAGTCTTTCAAGAAATCTGTCAAAACAAGGAGAGGGTGATCATGCTAGAAGGGGGTAACAGCTGCAGGTGGCAGCTTTCATTACTGAAGGGAGAAGAGGATATATCAAGCCCCACAGCCATGATGTTTCTGATGCAATTATTTTATTAACTGTGGACACTTTGTGTAATGCCTTTCTCTTTAAATCCAAATTCTGTTGCTTTTATAGCTACTCATAAGTGTGCCAGTAGAAATGAAAAAAAATATCCATATAGTTACTAGTCTGCTTGCATCCAGCTGAGCCCTGGAAGCCGCAGAGAGTTAGCCCCTGAGATCTGAGAGCAGGCTTGAATTTCCGGAAAGTGATTGGATCCATAATTAGTGCATTTTTGCATGTTTAAATGCATGATTTTGAGATGTGTTTTGCTGTTTCCTTCTCTCCAGGGCTTGGGTGAGCGTGTACAAGCTTCCCTTGCTGTGCTAAATGAGAGAAACCTCTTCAAGGTCTGCTGAAGGTCAGAGTAGAGGAATTTTTTCTTCCTGGGTGCACAGGTCAGGCAGTCAGCACAGAGCTGCAGCCCGGAGTGCTTGGATGGAGTCAGGGCCAAGAGCCTGGTGGCATTTCAAAGCCCTCGCAGCATTTAGGTGTTAGATGTGAAATATCAGTGCTGCTCCATTTGAAGTCAGAGAAATAACTTGTGCTTAAAGTTCAACACGTACACAAAGATTTCCTGGACATGTAGTTAATTTATTTTTTTTTCCCAAGGCCAGTTTGAAGGCAGCATCCTATCAGGAAGAAAAGTTTCACTTTGTTTCATGTTTTGTTTAGCCTATTCTGTATGCTTTTATCTTCTTGCAGTATCGACTTAAGCAATTTAGGTTTTTATTTAGTGCTTATTCTAAACCTAGCTAACAGCTTTAGGTCAGGATTGGGGGCCAGTTGGGCTACACAGGCATTTCTGTCTTTTCAAATGCTCTACAGTCTGCAACCTTCTTTAATGTAGACTATTTATATTCCACCTTTTTTTTTTTTTTTTTTTTTTTTTTTTCCCCAGTAGAGAAGCTTTTACTTTTCTGCTCTAGCTGTTCATTAGATATACAGCATTTGGAGTTCCAGTTGTGATGAGAAATGTAAGCAAAGCTTTTGGCCCAGTGGGTGCTAAGTCCTAGCACTTCATAGCTTTATATGTGTGACTCAGGATTAAGGCACAGAGTCTATATAAAATTCAACTCATTAGGAGACATTTCTTCTTACAGCTCCCACTGGGGAGGCAGGTCCTTCATTTGTACTATTGCTTACTTTGCATTATTGCTCTCTGGGAGAAGTCTGGAGTGAGCAGAACTCACTACAGCTGGGATAACATTTCTGAATGGCTCTTGTGAAGGAAACACAAGGCAGTAGGGCAGGTTCTTCTGCTCCATTTTACCAGTACATTGGCATGCTTGTCTTAGTTTGGCCTTAGTGTTTTATAAGAAATCAAATGTCAAGCATACTGCTAAAATCATACTCAAAATGCCTTGTCAGAGTTGAGCAAACAAGAAATAATTATGAAAGCAGACAGGAATTAGGTTTCTCTCAAAGGTGATTTCCATTGTACAAGAGCTAAGGTACTGAAGGCCAGCAGTGTTTCAAAAAATGTGTTTTTCTCAGCCTGATACCTCACTTAGCTTCCCAACAGGCCAAATTCAGTTTTGGGTTTGCATCTCAAGTATATCCAGTAGATGGTCAGCTGTGTTCACGTACTTCAGCCAGTGAAGCTCTACTTGCAGAGAAACAATGAGTTTGGAAAGGAGTTTCATCAGTTGTAATTTCCAGGGATGAACATTCACTGTAGGGAGTACCAAGTCAGTGTTTCTTCCTCAAGGACTTTAAGCTGTCACCCAGAGAATACAGTGAATGTAATGATGAGAATTAGATTAGAAAAAGATCAATAGGACTGACAATAAATGAAAGTAACACAGACATTATTGAGCAGATTAGGAGAGAGAAATTAAACTGGACAGGGTAATCTGAAATGCCAGCTAGACACACTAATGATGGGCAAAGTTAGGGAGAAGACAAAGTTAGAAAGCTGGGAAGGAGAGGCAGAAACAGACTGTCTGTGAGATGAGGGGTAGCCATTCCAGTGATGGTCTAGTGATGGATGCTTGCAGGCCTTCCAGAAACAACTATTTGGTTTAAACTTGATATATGCTATCATAAGTCCCTGTGTTTTGTGATCTGTATAAATATTCAGCGCTGATCAATTCTGGCAGGCTTTGGGGTGAGGGATAACTGGTGGCAATGCGATCTGCAGGCTAGCTGTGCTCAGCATAAAAAGAAACTTTCCTTTTATCAGTCTTGAATTTGTCTAGATCCCCTTACAAGTCTTTGAAAGGTTTACCCCAAGGCAATGTAATTGTGCTTGATCACATCCAGGCTATGAGTCAGTGATTGATATGAATAAAGAACTTAGGGTTTCTTGTCTTGGTTCCTTGTTTCTGATTCCATAGGGAAAGAGACTGCTTTCATAAATATATCGGTCCATCTGTGCTTCTAGCTATCCATTTCAAGTATATGCTCCGAAGAAGAAATAGTAACACTTTATAAGTGCAAATAAAAACACGTTAAAAGGACTGAGCTTGTTGTTGGGTTTTTTTGTTGTTGTTGTTGTTGTTCCTCATAAAGTACATGCGGATCCCATCCAAAAGAGTTACTGTGAACCATGTAACTTGTAATTAATTCTGCTATAAATGTCAGAACATTTACTTCACAGGTCTAAGCTCACCCACTAAAATTAGTCTCCTTTTAACAATTCCTTTTATAATTTGTTTTTCAGCAGAGACGGCAGCTTGACCTTCTGACAATAACCAGCCCCGGTAAGTGAGCTCTGCTGCATGGCTCTCTTCTCTTTTCTTAAAGAGATGGTTGTCTAAATGTATTGTTTTTTCCCCCCAGTCTCTGAAATGCAAAATGAAAAACACTGTTCCCCAGAAAATCTTTCACATAATAACAAGTGACAGCTATATTGTGCTTGGCAAAGCCCCGGGCAGTTATCCGTTCATAGAACTGCCTCTTCAGACCTTTACTCTATGAATTTGAGTGTTGATATTTCTTTAAGCCTCGTGGGGTTACAGTTAGCGGTATGTCTGCAGGGCAGATGCCCTCAAATTCACAATGTGTGTTTGACTATCACAGAAATGCGAGTTTGGCTTTTCTCAGTGGCAAACATGAGCAGTTTGGGGAGCAATGGGACAGCGGCCGTGTGTGCGTGTGGTGGGAGACTGGAAGTCCAGGCTTGGTTCTGGAGAACCCTGATGTGGGACAGAAAATATTGAGGTGAAATCTGAAATGTGCTAAATGATCTTCTTCATTACGGCCTTTCTTGTTTACCCATTGAGAAGATAAACCAAAGTATCTTACACTGAGGATGTGGTGGGCTCTTTGGCATAGTGAGCTCAAAGATCTCAGTATCATGATTAAAATGGTGGCTGTTTGGGTAGTTCTCTTTGATCTCCACTGTTAAGGCTGGGTGGCTATTAGTTTAGTGCTGGTTTTTGTCTCTGTTTCATTCTGTTGGCTGCTATAGTAGTTCGCTGCCCACCAGCTCCAGATATACGCTGTGCTTGAATGGTGCTACCTTTTGGTTATTTTTTCAGTTTTCCAGCTGTATATGCACATTAAGCTTTCCATTTGGCTTTAACTGGGACTAATGAGTTCTGGCTTTAACTGGGAATAACGTGTTAGGAAATGAACAGGTGTTTTGGGAAGTGAACAAAATGTGACTCATTTGCTTGGATAACAATTTTGCATCAATAATTGTTCTGACATTCTAAATGTAGATATCATCTGTGACATGGTTTCTCCTTCACTAACCTTGTTAAAATAATAAGAATTAAAATAAGGAGGAGGAACACTTTGTTGGGACAGATGTTTGAGGCTATTGGCAATTGCATCACATTTTTGCATGTTCACTTTTCATGCAGTTTGCAATTATGTTAATGTATGCTCAGGGCACTTGCTGATAAAAGCAACAATACAGTGTGATACAGCCATTGTCACTATTCTGACTGTAACTTCAAGGACAAACATGGCTCTTTTTTTTTTTTTCTTCATTTTTCATATCTTCAGTGTTCTCTGCTTCTAGAGCAGAAAGAAAAGGAAAAGAGACCTCTAAGTGTCTTAATCGTAACAGGCATTCAGATCTTGGATAAGGGCACCGAAGACCACCTACTACTTTAATTTAATTTAATTTTGATTAAATAAGACCAAAGGAAGCTTGAGAAACAGAATAACTTTATATGAGACGCGTCTGTAAAATGAATTTTTGATACCTTTCTTGTAATTTTAAATACAGAAGTTACTGGTACAATGAAAGGTTGACTTCATTGATTTTGTGCATCGGTGTGATTGCAGTAAGTAGCTATTGCTTCAGATTTTTTGGTTTAATACAGCAACTTATTAAATCAACACAGCAACTAATTGGGATGGTCAGAATAGCTATATTTGAAAACAGCTTCCAGTGACTGTGTAGGTAGACATGCTGTGCTAAAACGGGGAGAAGCCTCTTGCCTGGCTCAAGGTGCCTTCTGAACACTGAATCACGTATGCATGGCACTGGTGGAATTGCTCATTTGTATGTTTAGTGGCACAGGTGTGCATCATAAATCTGTAAGCTAAACTCAGGGCATTCTGGATGCGGGGGGAAAAAAAAAACAAGAGGAAGAAATGCAGAGGGTAAGAGATGTCTCATATGCAAAGGTGCACAGCTGATCTGTTCCAGCGCTAAGAAAGCAGCTCTGGAAAGCTCCACAATGTGCCCCAAACTGGAGGAAGTTTTTGCTTTGCCGTGGGTTTCCAGAAAAAGGCAGGCACAAATGATGCATAAGCTGGGAGCGAGCCAGACTCCCTCATGCTTGAATATATCCCTTTGAAGTAACTGACACCCATGTAAAATGTGGAAGGGAGTTCACGGCTCTGCCGTACTGCTGAGTAGCTGGAGGAATGTTGAGTTAAATTTATCAATGCTCTCGCCACACTCCTTTCTTCTTGCCCCTTGACATGTGAGTTACAATTAGACTGCAACGTGCTGTACGGTTCAGGGTGCCAGATTCAGAGCTGATGTGCGCAGTGGGGTGGGGGAAGGATTTTAAACATTCATTAGTAGCTGGCAGGGACGTGCTGGCAGGGAGTGGGACATAATGAGGTTTAAGTTTTGGTAATTTAAATTTTCTTTAAACTTAGCTTTTCTGCCTTTGAATTTGATCCAAAACATTTTCTCTACACTTTGTCTTCTAGACTTTAGATTTCAGGACCAAATTTTCAGGTGGCTTAATCTGATCTGCCTTTAATTTCTATGTGATCATGTTCTCTAATGCTTTGAACATGCGCCTGCAACTGTGTCACGTTTCGTGGTAACCACTCAATAGTTGCAAATAAGATATCCCTGTTTCTATAGCTTTTTCCTGGAGACAAAGATTTTTGCATCTCCTCTGTTTACGATAATAATATAGCTTTCCAGTTTCTCTTCTCGGTAAGGTAAGTTCATCTCCCACAGAAATATTTTTAATTATTGATACCATAAATGGAAGTGCGTTGGAAACTATTGGCTTTGAAAATAGCTAACATGTGATATTATCCAAGAACCATCAGGAAAATTCTTTTGAAATTCTCTTTGATTCAGCCGTCCTCAGGGCTTTATCCTTTTCTACCAGTCTCTCTACTGCCAATTTAAAACAACATTCTCTTGAAATCAGTGCAATGTCAGGAGAAATTCATCAGCACCGTAGGTGCATGTTTCCCAGATGTATATAAACCTACTACATTTGGCAGCAGTAAATTGATTGCATTTAAAAAACCTGCAGTAGTTGAATATTCTATAGTGCCCAGCTTGGCTACAGCGTGGAATATAAAGTATTTTAAGTCTCTTTCAGCTCTGTTTTAGGAGAAATAAAGTAAGAGCTGACTCCATAATTCCTTCCTCACGATTTGTTCAGATTTTCCTCTGACCACATTAGGAATTTACACACACTGACAGAGTGAAATATCCCTGATCTCTGTGGAGTGACACTGAGATTTGATTGGGAATGCTAATGACTGTGTGTTTGCTGTCCCCTAATATTCAAGCTCTTGCACTTTTAAATAGGGAAGAAAGCTTGATTTAAAAAGTATTTATCAGACTTATCTGTGGGGTGAAATATTCTCCCCCCTTTTAATATCTTCAGTGCAGCATGCTCTAAAAATGTCTCCATTTCATTAATTTGTGATATGCTGCTACAGGAATTCTTTTAAGGTGGCTTTAGTTTCTGCCATACATATTTTACTGCTTTAAATTATAGATATAGGACTGTTGCCTAGTTAATTTTCTCTGGTTAGGAAAATATATTTCTGCTCTCCTGGTATTGCATAAAATGATATGTGGGATTTGCTCTATTTTTTAGCTGATTAAGTTTTGCATTTCTACATATTACTGCTTATGAGACCTCAAGTAAAACTAAGCAAAGGAAGAAGTTTTATAGTATATTTGAAAGTTTCATTTAGCCATAAATTCCACCACTAAGCCCCCCTACAAGACTTTTCCATTACCTTCCTGGACGGTCTGGCTATCTTCTTCTTTCTAATTGAAGCATGAAAATAATGTGAACCCAGAGTCATGAAGCTGGAAGATGGGTATTAGTAAAAAACGATACAGAGTAATAAAATGTGACAGAAAGTTGTTTGCTGCTAAAACTTGGCTACTATTTTTGATGGTCCTTATTAATTAATACGACATTGATTTTGTACTAAGGAGGTGTCAAGTGTCTGGGTTTTTAAACAGCCTGACGTGATTATTGCTCGTGTTTGGCAGTGAAAATTCACATGCTTTTTTTTTTTTTTTTTTTGGAAAGATGGTGGAAAAAAGAAATTATGTATTTGTTTGCTAATAAGAGTCTTTCATTGCTAGATGATGAATAGGAGGGAAATCATTTCTTGTATCACTATGGTATGGTGGTGGTATTAATTCCCCATGTGCCCGTGGTATTCCAAAGTAACTTGGAGGAACCGGACCTCGCTGCTCTGCAAAGCAATCAACCCCAATTGTTTGAACCCACGGTACGAGAATTTCTTTGCCATGAAAAATAAAACACACATGCTGAAGTCTCAGAGTGAAATTAGCGTTGTCAGTTTTAGCCGAACCCGAGGAACACTGGAAGAAATTTGTTCCACACTTGGTGATCCTTTAGCAAGATGATGCACTAACAGAGAGCACAGAGAACTCGCAGTGCCATTTTAGTGCCATTAGGTTGGTTTTGGCCGTCCTGAGCCTGATTAAGAAATTTGACTGTATCCGATTCCGCATCTTCACAGCATCTGAACAGCTGTAAAAATTTTCATTTGCTGTGATAAGGAGGATTAATATTGTTGCTTGTAATTACTTATTTGTGCAGGTTGGTATCCTCCTAATTCTTATTTATACCTCTCCGTTGGATTGAAAAGAACAATTGCAGAGATTCCAGGTATCCACTGACTGGTGTTACTGTTCCTTCTGTTTTTCCCCTGTGCAGAAAGTCCTCTCTCACAGCATGTCCCAGGAGAGTAAGTTTGCCCTCACGTGTCTGCCTGTCTCTCCTGATTTATGCCCATCTGTCTCCCAAAACATCATATATATCCATCTCAAATATCGCACTTCTGAGTTCTATTGAAATGACTTTCCTTTTTCCTTTTTGCTCCAATAACCAGAGTTTTTCCATTTAGTTACCCGATATTTACTTTTAGTAAGACTGTTTCATCCCCACCTTTGCATTTTTTTTTTAAATGACCTTTTTTGGATTCATGTAGAATAAGTGATATTTACGAAATCAAAATAAGGCTGCAGAAAGGATATACTAAAGGCTAATCC